AGTAATAAGTAAAATATAGATTCCTTTAACTATTATTAGTAATAGAATAGCTATATTATAACTTTACTATAGATTTTATAATAGATCTCTTATATATAGTGAAAATAAGATCTAAATATTTCTAGGTAATAGTTAATAAACTTTTAAAGATAATAATACTAAAAGGGATAATATTAATAGATATAGAAGTATATATAGAATACTTTATAAACTGTTATTATTAGTTCTATAACGTACTAAAGTTAATTATTAGTAATAGAGGTAGTAATTAGATAAATTAGTTCTAGTAATAATTCTATATACTTATTAAGATTAAATAATATTTAAGTACTACTTTCTACTTATAGATAAATAAGGTAACTAAATATTTTAACTAGGAGATCTAAATAGTCTTATAGATAATAGTTAACTTTACTTAAGATAACTAAGAAGTTTACTTACTATCTATTTAATTAGTAATTAATAGTTATAATATAGCTATAATAAGAGTAAGCTTATTCTTTTTTACTTATAGGTATTATATTAACTTAGTATTAGTAATTTAGCTTATATTAGAACTAGTAAATTTATATAAATTAGTTACTAATAAGTTTATTAATAAACTAAAGTTAACTATAGAGTTAGCTTAAGCTACTATTATAATAACTTAATAGATAATAGAGTAATTAGTAAATACTAAAAAGATATTAGTAGAGCGCTATAAAGTAAGTAATAAGGTTTAGTTATTATTAATAAACTTCTATATAGAATAACCTTATAAGAAGTTAGATTAGTTATACTTAAAGTATAAAGTAATTAGAGTAATTTTATTAATTATAATTAAGTTAAATATTTTAAGTAAGGTTTATAATTATTTTTATATTAGTTTATTATAATATATTATAAATAACTTACTCTTAGGTTAAAAAGTTAATAATCCTTAATTATTACTTATCTTTAAAAATAGGGAAGATAAATAAGAGGTTAAGTTTATTCTAATAGTATAATAGAAATATATAAGTAAGAGTAAATACTATAAGTTATTAGTTAAGTAGTTAAAATATAGTTAGCTTATTTAGGAACTTTTATAATCCTTATAGGATAACTAAGTAGTAAATAAGTTTAAGGAAAAATATAGCCTTATAGATAAAAATAATAATAACCTTTAGTATATAATATTATAGTTAAATAATAATAAATAAGCATAAATAAAATAAAGAGAAGAGTAATAAAGTAGTTTATAAGTAAAAAAATAAGGAGTAATAAAAAGATTTTATTATAGTATAAAGCTATAGAAAGATATAATAAGGCTAAGATAAGCTTAAAATAAGTAAATAAGTAAGTAAAATAAAAACTCTAGAAATAAACCTTTTACTCTTCCTATTTAGTATAAATAATAGTAATAATATTAATAAGCTAAAAAGAATTAAAATACTAAAAATAGGAGTAAAATAGAGATATAATAAACTTTATAGAGGATTTTAGTTATATCTAAATAAGCTTAAGTAAAATAGTATAGCTAAACTTTATTAAGCTTAACTAAGAGAGATATTAAAGTAGAAGTAGTAGTAAGAGCACTAAAAATAGGAGTAACTAGGGAATTAATAGAAAGTATAGGGGAAATATTAGTGCTAATAATAGCTTTAGTAGTAACTTTAGTAATATACTTCTCTTTAGCTTTAGTATAGATCTTATAGCTTTAAATAGAAGTAATATAGAGGAGCTTTATATAAGTTTTAACTTATATAGGGAACTAGTAAAAAAGTTAATAACTTTATTAAAATAATAAAGTAATAAGGATTTATTAAGGTTTCTTTATTAATATTATAATAAGTAAGATAGTTATAACTAAGAGAAGTAAACTCTTCTTAGTAATAAACTATACTTTTATTACTTTAATAGATTATTAGCTTTATAGTATTAAAATAATAGAGGATAGGTATTTATATTAATATAAGCTAACTTAATAGACTTATTAGAGTAATAGATATACTAAGTAATATTACTTAAAGAAATAGTTAGTTTTAAAATAAGTTTAAAATATAGGGATAATATACTTTACTTAAGGATATTATAGTAAGCTATAATATTACTAAGTCTCTTAATTTTAGCTATAATAGATATATACTTTAAGTAAAAGACTTTATAGAGAGGTTTTTAAGTATTATTTAGGAGGATATTATTAAAAATAAGCTAATATAAATAAAGGTTTTAATAGAACGTTAGGAAAGTAATAGAAGAATAAAATAGAAATATATAAAAATAGGCGTTTTAATAATAAAGTAAGGGGAGAGAGGTTAGTTAAAGTAAATATATAAACCTTAACTTTCTAAAGTATAGAGAGGGTTATTAAAGAAGTTAAACTCTTTAAGAATAAGCTTTTTATAGTTAGAGAAGCTAGTAAACTTAGAATACTTAGAAAGTGAGGTACTATTAATAATAGTAAAAGGAGACTCTATCTCTATATTAAAGTCTAATAGGGTAAGCTATATTAAGTTAATTATAGTGAAATAATAAGGAAAAAATAGATATTTTTATATAAATAGCGTTATTATAGAGGTAGAGAGAGTAGATTAATTAGATCTAAATAAGTTAGTAATTAATAAGGATTAGAAGCTAATTAACTTATATAAATAATAAGCTAAGAGTATACTAGAAATACTACTAGAATAATAAAAAGTTAGCTAAAATAATATTATAATTAATTAATTAACTTACTACTATATAGGTTAATAAGAGAAGGAAAAATAAAAAGTAAATTAGGTATAAAAAATCCTATTATTATATTATTTACTTATAAGGTATAAGGTAATTAGTAGCTTAGATTAATATAGTATTAGCCTTATTTATAGTTTATATTAACTACTCTTAGCTTATACTATAACTATACTTATATAAAGACTAAAGGGGGGAAGTATATATTATAAGCTATACTTATTATTAATATCTAGGTAGTGCTATAAACCTAGGAGAATTCTGCTTTTAATAACTATATTCGCTTAACTACTACTTTATACCTGTTTTTCCTTTATATAAGGAGCTTTTTAGAACCCTCCCCTCTTTAGCTTAGATTCCTATAATTAAGGCACCTCTAAGTTGAACAAACTAAGGGCTAGCCTCTTATATATAATAACTTTTAATTAGTATTTTAATATTTTCTAAAACTAAAGTTTTTATAAAAACTTTTATACTACTTAATTACTATTTATTTAAAGTATAATAATTTTAAGATATATTATAAATATTTTACTTAGAAGTAATAAAGTATTTAGAGATATAAATATAGAAAGTAGAAATCTTTTATATATATAATATTCTATTATTTAATTTACTTAAAGAAATTTTAATAGCTTTAGCTATTAATTAATAGTAAGCTAAAACTATGTTTATTTAGAAACTTTAAGTATTACTAAAGATCTATAATTAATAATTTAAAATAATTTAAAAAGTTTAAAGAAATTATAAGTTTCTTTAGTAATTAAAACTACTAAATAATCTATTTATATAAACTTTATAGCTAATAACCTTCTTAAACTTTATTATATTTTATTCTACTCTAATTTTTTAGCTTAAATAATTTAAATTACTATAGGAAAATATAAAAATTAATTTACTAATTTTTCTAAGAAAATCTTAGTTTTTTTAATAAAATATAATAAACTATAAGTAATTTTACTTTTTTAAAAGTTTATAAGTAGTTTAAACTTTAGTTTTAGCTACTAATTAGAGGCTTTTTACTTAGATTTTATAATAATACTAACCTTAATATAATAAAGCTTAAACCTCTATAATACTAACTTTAGCTAAATAATATAAACTAGAAATAGAGGATACTTATACTATTTTCTAGTAGTAAAAAGTAACCTCTAAGCCTAAAAATATTATATATAGGAGGTAATTAACTAGAGGACGCTTAATTTAAGGAGTAGGAATAATATATAGTAAATTTATAGATATATAAGCTTGCTCTATATAACGTATGCCCTAGGGAGCGATCTGAGCTTAGCTCTGACGTCGAAAAATAGAACAACAACAACAACAACAACAGCAGCCGTTAGGGACGTCCATTGCTTTAAACCCACGCCAGCTTCCATGAGTACAGCAGCAAGCAATAAGGGAATTAGGACTGATATAGTAAATGTTCAGTGGCAAAGCAATTGCGGTGATGCCGACAAGACGGCTTGCAGTGGTCGTTGCAGTTCCACGGTAAGCTGCGCCTCATTAACCTTGAGTTACCCCTATCGTTCGCCTTACTGACAATCCCAGTGCCAGACAAGGAACTTCCTAGCGATGGCGACTTCAGACGGCAATTGCGATTGCTGGTGCGAGGGTTGACGGCATGGACGACGAAGCATTTTCAGTATAAAATTGCTTTCGAAGAGAATCGCCTTTAGGACCAGAACAACTCATTTTTCTGCATGATGTGGAAGACCATCAGGAGGCCTTTGGAATCTTGGTACCCCACCGCCACGCTAGATCCACGCATCGTGACTCTGGCATATATCTCGTCTGATTTATAACTTCGAAATATCATCATCATCTTTGTAATGATTTATTGCGAAATCGTTCTATGCTTTTTCATGGTATTTCTTGCTCGTCTATGATCGGATTTGGCGAATGACTTGGTGTCATGGCGGCTTCGGGACCGCGAGTCAGGACAAGCAGTCCACGTCAACCACTGTTGCTGCCCTTACATAGCGGCCACGTTTTTCATGCGTGCCCCATCCTTTGAATTGCAATAAACCACGTGCCGCTTTTTGACCTGCGTCCAGATAATGGAAGAGCCACAGTTTGAAATACGTTTCCATGGAAATCGCCCTGCACCAAGAAAGCTGTGTAAAGGCCGCCCTCGCGACTCATGTCAGTCAAGTGGAAATTGGCCACGAACCAGAGGGGGAAAGAAATAGATTGTCCAAAACCTTAAGCCAAAGTCAATACATAAGACGCTCTTTTCTCTATTACGATCATTTCTCTCAACGGATAAGTCGACTTCTTTCCAGCCACGCTACTCATTACTCATCATGCGTATGAACACACTCCTGTCTCTGCTCACAGCAGTACCTATAGCCCAAGTTGCTGCAAAAGACTTCTCAGGGTCATGCTCCGGAATGTCCTATTTCTCCACCAGCATTAAGGCATTCTGCTTCACCGCTGACAATGAGTACTCGAATGACTCAAGCCTAGACTTGAAAAGCTGCCTCGCCAATGTCGGAGGCCAAGTTGTCGTAAGCCTCTCCCGCATATCGTACCTTTTCCGGACATCTCTTCTCTGCCAGCTTATGATTTAGCGTCTAACAACCGATTTGCCGCTATGTCTACAGTGCCGCCCCAGCAAGTAAGTTCAATTACGTTCCGCACCCCGCTCCAATCAAAATTGACAAATCGAAAGTCCGTCCTTCAAGTTCTGTGACTGTGGTCTTGCTGGTGATAAGAAGACTCTGAATTGCCGTTGCACTGACGCTTCTGGCACAAAGAAGCCTTCCTCTTTGAACTTGGGTAAGACCATGAAAGCAAAGTATGATGGGACCATTCACTAATAAGCTGCTAAGACACTTGTTTGAGTAACACGGACGGCAAATTGACCTGTTGAGTGGAAGCATACGTCAGGATAGTCGAAAACGTGAGCAAGGAGGACCAGGCAACGGCCATTTAAAGTTTGGAATCTGCCAATAGTCCAATCACTTTTTGGGGTTGACTGGAGCACGTCTCTTGAGACAAACTGAATGACGGCTGCCTGTAAATCTGCTGCAGTGTTAGCATTGGAGACGGCTTATTACGTGGATTTGGCTAAGTACTTAGACGTGTCCATGCCGGCGGTGCCGTGTGACGTCAGAATGTGGCTCTTTGGGTCGGAAAGATTTCCGACGCAATTACTTTATCATCGACTTGAAAGATCCGTAGTTCTAGCGGCATATACGTCATCTGTCAATGAATGGGGGAGAAGGTCCCGAGGACGTCGGGTATGAGTACGTATCATCACGCAAACAGATGTTATCTTGGTCCCGCCTACACCTACACGATAGTTGCTTCCAAGTCATTAAATCTGCAAGCCGTATAGTCAACTGCTTTAGCAACGCTAAGTTTATCAATCACTCCGAACTGGTCAGGAGCAAATCCGACAGACTAGAGAGTAATTCATTGTGCATGATGGACCGCCGGAAGAGCTCGATTACGCCAGTCACTCCTTGCTATGTAGTGTCGCCCCTGGGTGCACAGTGAACGTGATCTTGGTAAATTTTAAACATGTATTTTACAGAACTTCCTGCTGGTACTATGGTCGATGTTCAGTATTATGTAGCGGATGTTGTGCTTGATCCATTTCTGGGCAAATGTGCGCTTTGCCCCAATGATGTCTCCATATATCGAGTTTCGCAGAGGCGAGGGTCGCCCCGGTTGAGACACAAGCACATGTATAAATTGAGTTCCAAAGCCAGCGCAGTCTTTTCTCTATTTCGAATGCGGATGATAATCACGACGCATCCTACCTTCGCAGCCGAATACCACGTGCGGCTCTAGCTTTACCGCTGAAGCCAACTTCTTCATCATCGGCTGCATACCGTCAGTTCTCGTGCGGACAGCCTCATTATTACAATGAAAGCAAATTTAATCGCGGCTGCCCTGGCGAACGCTGCGTAGGTACAACCCAAACGCTGACTGAGTTTGGCCGGGGGACTTGCTAATTAGCTCAACTACGGCAGCATTGTACTTGGCGGAGTTTACAAAGGCTACATCTGTGTGATGTCTAATGGCGCACAGAATCCTTCAGACAACATGTGCTGGCAAGCTTATGGAACACCTCTGCCCGGTTCACCCGGGGTGGTACGTCCTTGCCCGCTGTTCACCCACAAATGCAAACAGATAACGCTAACGCGATGCAGTGCTGTATTTCGAACTCAATCACCAAACAGAGTTTTGATGATGGCTGTGTCAATAACGGTGGCAAGACTGGGATTCTTAAGGATTGTTGAGGTTTCTCCATGTAGCTAAATCATATGCTTCGGCAGCTATTTGCCTACTTCGGCAGTTATGTACCTAAGTCGGTATGAAGTTACCCGATCAGGATCGCTCGACCAGTCAGCCTTCATTAGACAGGAGAAGTCTTTGATTCGCAAATAATGTCTGAGAAATTACATTGGCACCATGTGCCGTGTGATACTGCTGCGAGAGTTCGCTCTCCCGAAGCTTCCACGTTTGACGTGTAATGAGTTGAGGCGAAATTGATAGGATGAACCAACCCAGTCGGGACCAAGCAGCAAGTTTCCGGCAACCGGCCCCACGGATTCCTGACTAATGGCCGAGGAATGACAGCTGCATTCTCAATATAAATACATTCAAGATGTGCATCCATAGAACGATGCGGTCACTGACTGCTTGTATACACTCACGGCGAATATTGTCCGTCACGATGAAGATTTCTATACTTCCTGCTCTTCTTGTGCTTAACCTGGCTGGCAACGCCATGGGTGCATGCAGAACTCGTACTAGACGCTGCGTAAGTATCTGTCTGGTCTCCAAACAGGCTTCTGAAGGATGTGCTAATCGTGCTGTGGTTATCTTAGTCGCCTCAGCTAGTCTGTGATGCCATCTTGAAACCTGGAGCCTTCCCTTGTGCAACGAAAGAACAACCAGACCCTCAGTGTACGCAAGTCGTGGGCGATGGGTACACCGCCGTTCAAGTATGATTTTCTACCAAGCCACCCAAACATTTTTGCCGCCCTGTATCTTAACTGTTTGGTATAGTGCGTGTGTTGCGATCGCTGAGTGACATGCCGAGTGAAGCCCTTGAGCTATATCATGGGCTAGGACGACGTTGGGCGGTTTGGTTCCGAAGTACAATACCCAGCCAGCTACCGCCGGCGCATACAGGATGACCATCACTGAGAATGGATCTATAAGATCACATGGGTTCGCAAACGTTTAATATTAGAATTCAGTAACATACCTACCAAGGTATTTTAAGATAGATTATAGTTGCACCGTCATGTAGCTCAACTGGCAACTGTAACCTCTGTAACCCCTCATCGACGGAACCCCATTTACATGTCCAGTCTCAAAGCGTTACAGGCGCATAAAACTTGCCAATCATCACAAACACTAAGGGTACTTGGGCTTGTTAAATGAATCAAAGAGTTTGATGGTCCTCCATGTTCAATGCTTTCGTACTTCCGTCGACCAATTCCACCCCCCTCTGCCTCTCGGATCACGGTAAAGAGTCATCACTTAGAGCGGGACTCCACGAGCATCCGGTTGCCAGCGACACTAAACTTACGAACGCAAGCAGGAGCTAGTAGAACCCGCCACCGTCGAATTTCAGCTTGCTTAGACATTTACAGTCAAGAGAGACGAGATGTCGCTGGCTCGTCATTATTGCAACTCCGGCTCGGTTCGGGTCCACGTTCTCGGGTCGGTTGCTGCCACTCAACCCACTTGGAGCGGGGAGCCGGAGGGGGCGACACCACCAAAGGTAAATTACCACTGAAGATGGCCGTTTACTTTGCTTCATTCTTTCTTTTCATCATTTTTCCCAGGTCGCCGCGCAGTCTTAGCTGGAAAACTCCATCATAACAGATGCACGTTGGCCTACCTTTCAGCCAGACGTAAGATGCGTCTTCCGGTCTGGTTTTCCTTGGCAATGCTGCCACTTCATGTCATTAGCCTCCAGGGAAACACATCATATACCAATCCCATCCTTCCGGGATGGCACTCGGACCCCAGTTGCACATTCGTGCCTGAATGGAATGACACGGTTTTCTGCACAACATCGACATTCATGGCCTTCCCCGCAAATCCAGTTTATGCCAGCAAAGACTTCGTCAACTGGAGGCTCGCCAGCAACGCCGTCAACCGAGTGTCTCAATTTCCAGTAATTCGAAGCGGTACTCAAGGTAATGGAGGGGGAATGTTCGCCAACACGCTGCGCTACCACAATGGCACCTTTTACTTGATCTCAACCTGGGCCAGCGCAGAGCTAGGAGGTCCCAGATTCGTCATGTTCACCGCCACGGATCCGTACGACGACCTTGCCTGGTCTAACGCCATATGGCCTCAAACACCTGGTTACACAATTGATCCGGACATCTTTTTCGATGATGACGGCTCCGTGGTTATTGCATCGGCCGGAGAACCCATTATCGCCGCTTATCTTGACCTGGCTACGGGAAACACAAGCGAGCCATGGGAACTTTGGGCTGGTACTGGCGGCCAGAGCGCGGAAGGGCCACACATTTACAAACGCGATGGATATTACTACCTCTTAATTGCGGAGGGCGGGACACAGCTGAACCATTCTGCGACTATGGCCCGATCAAAGAGTCTCAAAGGACCCTGGGAAGCAGCACCTCATAATCCATTAGTCTCGAACAGGGGCACCGACAATTACTTCCAGACTGTTGGGCATGCGGATCTTTTCCAGGATGCACAGGGCAATTGGTGGGGTGTTGCATTATCAACACGTGGAGGTCCGACATTGTACAAGGAGTTGGACTATCCCATGGGAAGAGAGACAGTTCTCTTTCCAGTCTCCTGGCGTTCTGGAGGCTGGCCGGTTGCGGACCAAGTTCAGGGTCGGGTGAGCGGTCCTTTGCCGAGTCAATCATTGATAAGCCAGGGCATCGGACCTGAGGTAGGCGAGCCGGACGTGGTAGACTTTATGGCAGGATCCGAATTTCCTTCAAATTGGGTGTCTTGGAGAGCACCGTTCGACGCAGCCTCCTTTGCAATCTCCCCAGCAGGCCATGAAAACACACTGCGCCTTACTGCGTCACGCGCCAACCTCACTACCGATCTTAACTTCAACACCAGCACCGGGGGCGTGACTGCACTCTTCCGCAGACAAGAGCACACATACTTCAACTTTAGCGTTGATATTCAGCTCGGCTTCGGGAAGTCCTCCGGTGACGAGATGGGCATCTCTAGTTTCGGCACCCCTGATCAGCACGCCGACCTCGGCATCGTGTACTTGGAGGACGTCTCTGAGTCTTCAGGGAAGCTCAAGCCGTACTTTCGAGTGCGAGCTCGTTCGGTGAACGCTTTTACAGCACCCGAACTGACAACAGCTCCTGTTCCCGAAGGTTGGCTTGGGGACGCAATCCGACTGCGAATTTCCCCGAGAAATGAGAGTCACTATGAGTTCTTCGCCTCCTCGGTCGGTCAAAGCGGTAAAGAGGAGGCGGTTGGGTTATATAGCACGGCCCTATTATCTGGTGATGGTGCGGGAACCGGAGGCGTACTGGGAATCTACGCAACTACGAACGGAGGCAGCTATCCATTCGAAGGTTACGTGAGCAGATGGCGATATCAGCCTGTCGCTCAGCAGATTGGCTACAACTCCACGATCTTCGTACCAACTTGAACAGTCACTTGACATACCAGATAGCACGTCTGCAATGGACTCAACGTTTCAAACGGGATTCCAGACCTTTCTTCGAGTCGTTCTGATCATTGCCTATTCCGGAACTTGCCAAACAGATTCCCCGGCTTGCGATGCCATCATGATGACACATGTACGTTCAACAGTTTTCGCCTGACAATAATCAGAATTTGACAAGCCATTGGCAATCACACGAAGCTTAAATATGTTCAATATTAAAACGCTCTGCAGCTTTGAGCTAATTTTTGAACACAAGTGACAACGACCATACCGCATCTGTCGCCCTTCGGTACTGCTATCTGTCCGCTGATTTATGCCATGGGAGCGGGAAAATTGAAGGAGAATACCAACAGATCAAGTGTCACGTATTCTAAGTCTAAAACCCTAATTAGAACAAATTCATCCCATTGGGTTCACCTTGCAAGAGAAACACATCTGGTGTGGCACCAATACCACGGGCTTCGGGCGGACTCAAATGCCGACCTGTACGAGTGGCCGGCACATCATAATCCCTCCGATGCCGATGCCGATGCCGGATAACAGAGTGTGCGTATATATGCTGCGCCAGCATGACAAAGACACAATCGAGATAACGCTTCTTGACACCTGGGTAGAACATCGATGTTTTTCTTTTGGTTTCACTGTGAATATCATTCAGCATCCGCACCGCATCACTGCACATAAAGCTTCTATTACGATGGCAGAAACCATAGAGTGGTTCGGTCTGTCATTCTATATCAGTCATATCCTATTATCAGCTTGCTAATGGAAATTCAGGGGCCACGACGTTCCGTTTGAAAGCCAACGGCCTTGTCATATTTCTTGATACATGGCTGGAGAAGCCCTCCGCTCTCCCTAAGTACTTGGACATTGACGATGTTACTGAGGCGGACTACATATTCATCTCACATGCACACTTTGACCAGTGAGTGATGTTTTCATCCTCCATCGTCATAGCCAATTCCCTGATCACATGTAGTCTACCGGGAGCCGACAGAATAGCAAAGAAGACTGGGGCCATCGTCATTGCCAATGGTGAAGCCATCAACCTGCTGCGCTCGGCCGGCGTTGACGAGTCTCAGCTCTTTCCTGTCGCAGGCGGTGAGCGAATCCCAATGGTCACAAAAGCCGATCGCGACGCCGCCATGGCGGGTAAGATACCTCTCGCCAATGGCCCACCGGGGGCACCCGCAAGACCGCACCATTCGACGGCGGTCATGTCCGTTCACGTGTGGCCCTCTTTGCATGCTCTCATGCCGGGAAGTGGACACCATGACATCCCGGACGAAATCGATACCGGAACAGAGTACACAGGCGAAGCAACACCATACGTCTGCACCCTTGACGTGACCATGGGTATGAAATACGCCCTGATGAGGCTCAAGGAAATAATACCTCCCGACCAGATGGATGAGGGTACACGGTCAATGGCAGATTACATGGAAGATCGAGATCGTCACGTCTTCTCGAATTATGATGGAGGCCAACTGGCGTACAACTTTCTCATTGGTCCTGGGAAAACGTTGTTCTGGAACGGACATTTGGGAGGCTATGAGGGGATCCTGAAAGCCATTGAGCCGGCTCCAGATGTCGCGATTCTCGCCATTGCAGGGAGAGCAAACCTCAATGGGCGGCCCTACAACGGGTCTGCTGCTTCATTTGCCGTGGACGAGATTCGGTGGCTTTCGCAACCAAAGAAAGTCTACTGGTGTCTACACGATGAAGGGTAGGTTCATGTTCCTACTAGATTCGAATTCACTGACAGTCTGACACTTTCTAGTGCAATTAGGCCATTTCGAGTAAACACTGCCGCAGCGACCGCGATGGTTCACGCCAAGACCTCAACCAATGTGGAGGATTTGCGCCCTGCCACACTAGTAAAGCTGTTTTGATTGACTATTACACTTCTGGGCTGGCGGTGTATAGTCCGAAGTGTTTAGGATGCGCGCCTTTGGACTTGTTGCATTTCGCGTGAAAGAATTTGTCTACTACATGGCTTGTATCTGCTGCTAGTAACATACCACCACAACATCGTGAAGTGCTCCGAACGCTGTGGGCAGATAGCCGGAGTCGTCCACTTACCGAGCTCCGAGGTGTCAAAGCTTGTTTGAGTAGGAGGTGGACGTGAGAGCTTGAGCCAACGGCGAAGCTTCAACCCTGTCAATGAGGCACATGCATGGGGTAACATCCCGCGGCGGAGGTGGGGGATCTTCGCGGGGTTCGCAGCGAGGTATGACACTTTGACCACCAGTTGCCTCGTTAGATCTTCTTAGGCAAGAACATGTTGCTGCCGACTGTAAATGCCGAAATATTGTGTAACACGGAATATGCTATTGTCCGAGTTCGCCGGTGATCACGTATGCTCGTGTCCAAAGTCGAGGATTATATCTAATGTATATATGGTAATAAATCAGCTAAGTCGTGTCCACCAAAACTTTCAGAACGGTCAAGAGATCGACAAGATGGCTGTACAGTTCAAAGTCATCATTGCTGGTGGAGGACTTGCCGGCTGTCTCCTCGCCAATGGGCTGGTCAACAACGGTGTCGATGTGTCGGTCTACGAGCGGGACGCGGAAGACACAAAACGAGAAGGATTCCAAATTCGGCTGGGCGAAAGTGCGCTGGCAGGATTCCGGGCGTGTCTGAAGCCATCCGAAATTGCAACAATTCAGTCGAAGTTCAGCCAAATGTCATCGACAGGACTCACCGCACCAGCGATATGTAACACGAAGTTCCAGACCGTGCTTGATCTCGGGCAGCTGCCTTCGTACGCGGCATCGTGGGGCATCAATCGGGTGGTCCTCCGCGATATTCTAGTCAACCCACTGAAAGCAAAGGGATGTCTTCACTTCGGGAAAGCCTTTGAGGGATACGAAATTGTTAAAGATGGAACCGGGCAAGAAACCGTCCGAGTTCACTTCGCGGATGGATCCACGGATACATGCGATTTATTGATCGGGGCAGATGGCAGCAATTCTAGAGTACGATTTCAACGGTTCCAAGTTTTATTCTACGGACGTACTGAGCTAAATGGCCGCAGATCAATAAACAGGTCGGAGCTCGCAATCTGGTCCCGGTTGACAGCCATGTGATGATTCTCAGCAAAGGACCGTTACCACAGGACTGGACTGAGAAGCTGCCACCAAGGCTGCTAAAAAGTCCAGTCATGGTATGGGCAGGCGGCATTTCTATGTACTACGCACGTAAGCCTCAAGACCATACCGTGTCCTACTACGTGCATGACTGACCCGTGTTTAGTGTTCTTGCCAAAAGCTGAGCAGCCAGCCGATGATTCAGAGAGCGGACCAAAATATAACGTGAAAGAGGCTTCCTTTTACTGGGGGCTTCTGATTCCGAAAGATCGAGTGCCGAAGCAACAGGAGCTATCGGAGATGCAAGACCCACTCCAGATTTGTCTTGAGGCTACCAAAGACTGGGCCCCCGAGTAGTATGCGCAAGCCCCTTGACAAGCTAGACATATACCCATGTTCTAACAATCATAGCCGCGCAATGTTGACGACTGGGTCAGAAGACAAGAACAAGGATTTAGTTACGGCTACAAGATTACGCGCAAGCAACAAACTGCCAAAAGCCTGGCGCAAGAACGTCAAGAAAACAACTGGAGACGAGGGCCACCCTCGCGTATGGCTTGTCGGAGACGCAGTTCATGCGATGCAGCCAAACCGGTAAGTTGATGGTCCTTGGACCAGAAACTCACGTCACACAAGCTATTGCTTACAAAGTTTAGGGGTATGGGAGGCAATCAGGCGTTCCATGACTGCGCTGATGCACTTCCTCGAATTCTCGAGCTGAAGGAGAAAGCCCAGACTGGAGAGAGGCCATCCTCGGAAGATGTCAGCACGGCGTGTAATCGATATGAAAGTGCGATGATCGACAGAGCCTTCCCTTGGGTCAGCAAGAGTGGAGGCACGAGCGTTCCCGTGAGTTATCTCCCGTAACATCTTGAAACTTTCTGCATATCTAAACGGTTCATATAACAGACTGTCAACCTGGACGGCATCCTCGGTACAATCCTGTGGATCATTGGCACTTTCTTGGTGTCTGGATACATCTTCATGGCTCGAGTGATGAAGCTTGGCGTCAGGAGTGGATGAGATACAAGTCATCAACTACAGAGGCTGCATGACCACTGATTTTAGCTATTTCATATGATCGAAGCTTTGAAATCGTGCATTTATGAGGTTAAAGCTCTTACTCAACTTCCAATAATTTCACCCTTCATGCAAACCGTGCTGCCCTTCTCCACTAGAACCTCACACGTCTTATCATCTTGCACAGACGTCGTGCGGATTGTGTACTCATCGCCGGCGTAGAGCGGCGACATTGCTCTATATCCAACTTGTCGCACTTCCCTGCCGTCTTGCCCGTAGACATCCCTCCAGTAGTCAAGCATGTTGATCAGGTTCAAGGGTCCATGGACCACAACCTCGGGATGCCTCTCAATATCCTTCGTCCAAGGCTCGTTGTAGTGAATCATATGGCCATTAAATGTAAGAGCCGAGAACCGGAAGAGGCCAACGGGTGACCATCGAAGATGCCGGAGGACACTGCCGTCTGAACCATTCTCATCCGTGATGGTTGACGGCCCAAAAGACGGTTGCCTGTTAGCTCGCGGAGGAGCAGTCTTTGCAGCCAAAGAGACATTGACTTCTGGTCGGAAAATCCATGACCTAAAAATTTGTAAGTCATGGAAACAAGCATGGTAGCGTAGAGGGCGGGTAAGGCATACCTCTGGTCCTTCACAACCAGTCCGTCCCGTCCCCAAAACTCTTTTTCGACGTCCACGAGAACCATCTCGTCACCGCTGCGGCTCTTCTTCGGCGTAGCGCCAACAAGCCTCGTGCGCTCTTCAACCTCTTCGCCAACTTTCAGCGAGGTCCCCTCAATGAACTGCATCTTCCCGCCAGCCCACATCCGCCGCGTGAACGGTGCTGGCGCATTGAACGTCTTGTCCGTCCCGTCCATGCCCAATTCGCTTTCGACCCCTGTTGGGGTGAAGTAAACAAGGTGATACCCTGGTGGAAGCGGCGTGCCTTGCTTGGGCGGTTCAGCGGAGACGTCGATTCCCGGATGCAGCTGCTTGCGATTGAGTGTCAAGCTGAGGCGCTGCAACTGATTGGAATCGAAGAGTTGTTTGCGCGTCACATCTTTCCCGGCAAAGGTCTCGAGGAGTTCTGATGCTGCGTCAGTTGCATTGGTGGTCATGGACCTTCTGCCGCGTGATGTACAGCGTGAGATCGCCGGTCGTATCTGATGAGCAAGGGAGGCCATGTTGGCGGTTGCAGGCGCGATTGGTGTTGAAGTCCAAATCCAAGATTGAAAGAACAACTACAATTGGGTCGTTGGGAAGGGAGGAACACATGCAATAACCTCGAAAGATATCAAAGCCGGCTAATGTCCGTCATCCGACGTCAAGCTTTCATCTCGGCGAGTAAAGCCCGGCATGGGGAGATCGCACGCCGAGGAACCATCCCAATTGGGGAATGGACTGAGCACAGTGTGTTGATCGCGGGGTCTGTGGGGTAAGCGGGCTCTTCGGTTATATGCTCTCGGCTTCTTCTTCCTGCGGGTGGCTGAAGTAGCCGAGTCGCGACCCTCGGCTCAAGAAGCCGAATGTTGCTATGATGCAACCAGGGTTTCCGCGCTTCTGACTAGGGCAGCTACAGGGAAAAAATGAGTGCTTAGGAGGCAGTTTCTTTCGTTCTTTGACTTTTAAATCCGCTAGGCCAATTCCGGGGCGTCATCATAAGCACCGCTGCAAGAAATTGAGGCCCTCGACTTGCATTGGACCGTTGGCGTAGAGTTGCGGGTCCAGGAAGAGGCCGAGATCACCAAGGGCATGCTCGCCTTCCCAGTTGGTCTGCATCAGGTTAAAGTATTGGTCCTCTATGGCGTCCGATCTGCTTTGCTCCACGGTGTCTGTGGAAAGATTCTGGGGTGTGCTAGCTGTGTTGAACGGGCTCAGGCCTGCCGTGGATCCTGATGCCCCATCAGCTGCCGCAGCATCGGCGTCTTCGTTGTAGATTCTCTTGGCAATGGGCTTGTCGAGGTACTGTAGAAAGAGATCCAAGACATTGTTGTTGATTCGCCAGTAGTTTTGTATCTCTTTTAGCCCTAAATGACACATCTGGGCTCTGTGAACTGCGAGCTGGCGACCGATCCCATCGGCCGACTTGATGTCGATAGCGTGAATGCAGAGAGCCGCGAACAGGCTTGTAAGTCTGAGATATTAGTGAAAGCGTCTAGAATTAAGAAGAAATAGCGCTCACAGATGCATTTGGCCGTATTGCAAGGTTTTCTGTGCGAGCATGTCTTCCGCTATCCTGCTGATTCGACAGGCAGCTGCGAGGGCGGCCTTTTTGTCCTCTTCGTCTCGATTTCGAAGCCATCCATTGCGATGGACTAGGATGCGCAAGTGACTGTGAAGCTCATTAGAATTACAGGGACGATTCTCAGCAGTGTTCCGGCTATACTTGTAGGCAAGATGAATGAGGCATGTCAGGACTGACGATTGCCCCTCCTCGGGTTCTCTCCTCAATTCTTCTGGCAAATTCTGCTTCCACTGCTCGAGTTGTTGCTTCAGGTCGCGCACTTCACCTGGCGCAGGAGGACCACGGCCCGGCGCAAAGTGGGTATCTGTTATCCTTCCGACTATACACCTGTTAGATAAATAGTATGGGGTCAAACAACGCTGCTCAGCTTACGTAGCCTTGCGATGTCTACCATATTGATAGCGTAATGCACATGCTCAGAATCTGATGTGCCAAATGCTGTAGCTGGCTGATCATCCGTGTCGCCCTCCAAATCGGAGGCGGTCAGGGGCTCGATGTCGCAGTCTTCGTCTCGTATTCTACATGGAAGGCCCAGTGATATCGCCGCTTGTCTTTCTCTCACCTTCAAGGAGTTAGTGAAATCTCAACAGCGTTGAGAAATAGCTTACGTAGATGGACCACCAGACTCTTCTTCTCATTCGGGCAAACTGGGGTTCTCTCGTGATGAAGCGTGTTCTTTACGATCGTCAGCTTGCCCCAGTATTGAACCCACCTCCGTTGACTTACGATCTATGGAGGCCATGCGTCTGCGCAAGAGTCAAGACACATCCCAGCCAGTATCGAACATCTCTCCAGTCGGTAGGACCGCCCCTCCAGAAGCTGCAAAGGAACAAAGATTGGATGAGAGTGAATTCGTCTTTTTCCCAATTGGAGTGAAAAAGAATCCTCGCACGTGAATAAGTCACACTCTTCGCTTCTGAGCGATCTTTGAAGCCCATAGCTGTAATGGTAGCCTCATCGCAGTACGTCGACCCGATGAAGAGCATCGCCTGCAACAATAGTGGCGAGATATCCATTGTCGCAAGCCTTCGCGCCACGTCTGCGCGATCCAGTATTGGGAAGCACGGGTGAAACCATTTGAAGTATGCGCGAAGGGCAGGCAGACAGCTCTGCATATCGGGAAAGGTCAAGGCCCCTTCATCCCTCAGGTATCGCTCCGTAGCCGAGCTGATATTGTTAATACTAGCAGGCGAAGTCCCCAAATCTTGCGATTGAGGTGTCTGGGGGACTGGAAAGGCCAAGCGACCCTTCAATACAGCGTCTCCCGCAGTCGCGTCGGACCCCGGCTCAGGGGCACCCGGCACGAGGGTGAGGAAGTTGGACTCTCCGAAGAAGCGGCTACTTCCCGTGCCAGTTGCAGAATGTGATGACGCGGGCGTCTCAGCATGAAATGGTGTTTGTGATGCGCCAGAGTTGGAAAGACCGCGAGACGGTGAAGCAGTGCTCATAGAGGCAAGGGTTGCCGCCACAGCAGACGTGAGCGCGGAGGGCGGAGCCGGTACGACAGGCTCCGGAGTAAAAGACGCTGCATCTTCTGATCGCTTCTCCTTCTTTGACTTGCGTGGATATCTGCTGCCTTGTTATCATTTTGATCGAGAGGAAAAGTGATTGCGCAGTTGACTCGCCTGCCTCTTCTCGAGGGAAGAACTTCGCATGTCGCGTTCGAGCTCTCACAGTTTGAACAAGGAAGACGCTCTGTGACGTTGCAGCGAATTCGTCGTGAGTTGCACTCTTTGCACGCGTGCTTCGCGCGAGGTTTCTTGAGGCCTTCTGTGGGCATTGTAAGTTGACTCGGGCCACCCGTGATCGCGTCTTAGAATGATGGAATGGGTATCATCGGATTGTTTATTCGTCAAAGACGGGACCAAAATTCATCGCTCAGCGCCACAGTTCGAACTTCACAGTGTTGGACGGCGCACTGTACCCACATGGGCCACATTCTCGGCTATCACATCCGTGGTGGAATCCGGGGGTTCTCTACTAGCAGCTACCCCAAGATGGATTGGACATGATACATCATCTAATATGACTTTACCTTCTCCTTGTCCAACTAGAACGATGGCCATATCAAATTCACCACATCCACTTCAATGTTGAATTAATCTCGTGTCCCCAAATAATCCCTTGTATTGTAACAAGATGGCTATGTAAGGCAACAAAGCTCAAATGCGGCTGATGATGAGAAAGACACGTCCAAAAGCCTTCGAATTATCCGCTTATCCGCCCACATTCATACAAGCGAGGTTGCTACCCTGACAACAGCTGCAGAAGGAAGTTGTTGGCTTACTACCCGTGTCGCAGAGGAACTGGTGGCGCGAGATATATGGTCAGTCATAATCTAACATAAGTCTTGCTGATTAGAGTCTTACGTTGGAGGTTGAAAATGAGTTGCTACCGCAGCAGCTTTTGGTGACAGATTTATGTACCGTGGAATCCATGGGATGCTCAGCATCGGTACAGAAAATGGGCCCTGCAAGTGAGCTACAGCGGGACTGAAGGTCAGCCTCGTTCGATGAAAGTGGTCTAGAGCATTTCAGTAATTATCGTACCTTGCTCCGAAGAGCGCAACTGCCAAAATTGTTGTTGGCAACATCGTTAAAAGAGGCTTGGTGTCTTCTGGTGGTTAAAGCTTGCTTCTGATTGACACGGAGTTGGGCTCTCTTATATCTGCTTTTAATATCAATTAATCTTGGAACTAGTTATGTACACAGAAGGAAATGCCAGCTCATTTTTTTCCTGACTCGCAAAATTACTTCACGGGTTGTCGGCATGTTCTATTTCTCTAAAATACGGACATTCGTAGATTGACTCGCCGGCACTTTCCTACCTCGGCACCCTAGTTTGAGTGGAAACCGGAGGCTCGCACATTGCCTCGCCGAGAGTTACTTGTCTCGACCAAAATTTAGTCTCTACGGAGAATCTTTCAATTAACATGGTTGTATTTAAACTTTCAGTCTTCAACCCAAGACATCGCTTATTATACGCCAGTGTGTGTTCTTCGGTCCCATCCTCAATCACGAGTACTTGCCTGACTCCGGACTCAATTAGAGATGAACAGGTAGCTGCAGCCAATCGTTCATCAATGAAGTTCATCTCAAAGTTTCAGGGCCAAGTTCCCTGACCCCCTGCTCGAGGTCTACCATGTCTTCATAATACACAAATAGATACACAATGTGCAAAGATGCAAGGTTGGTCTGCCTTCATGTCATTGTATAAAACGTATCATTACGTCTTTTTAAATCTTCGCCGTTTCTAGTAACTACGAGGCAATTGAAGGACCTTCTCTCCAATGTAGTTCAGAATCATCTCTCGACTAACAGGTGCAATACGAGGAACCAGGCACTCTCTGAAATACCTCTCCACATCGTACTCGGCCGCGTAGCCCATACCTCCGTGTGTAAGAACAGCTCTCTCGCAAGCCGTAAAGGCAGCTTCTGCAGCCATGTATTTGGCGCTGTTGCAAGCCACTCCAACTGCATCCTGACGAATGGACGAGTCCTCCTTGCTGGCGTCATACAGTCTTGCTGCGTGGTAAGTTGCTAGCTTCGCAGCCTCCAACCGCATGTACGCATCAGCGAGCGGATGCGCGATAGCCTGGTTCTGCCCGATCGGCCTCTTGAAGACCACTCGGTCCCGGGCATACTCCGCGGCCTTGGCTATCGCGGCGTAGCCCAGTCCCAGCGCTTCACCGGCAAGCAGGCAGCGCTCAGCGTTCATGCCGTGGAGGATAATCTTGAAACCCTGGCCCTCCTGGCCTATCAGACTCGAAGCGGGGATGGCGTAGTTGTCGAAGAAGACCTCGTTGGCGTCGACGGCACGGCCGCCCATCTTCTTGATCTTGCGCATGTCCAAACCAGGCTGAGAGCGGTCTAGGTCGATGCAGAAGAGCGAGAGACCTTCACTCGGCTTCTTACAGTCCTCGAAGGCCTTTGTGCGGGCGAGGAGAATCATCTTGGATGCGACTTGCGCGCAGGTGATCCAGATCTTCTGACCGGTAACCAGGTACGAGCCGTCTGGTTGCTTCTTTGCTGCGGTGGAGAGGCGTAGGGTGTCGAGACCAGCGTTGGGCTCCGTGACTCCAAAACAAGCCCTCCATTTGCCGGAGATAATGTTGGGAATTGTACTCTCGAGTTGTTCCTGAGTCCCAAATTTGGCAAGTGGCTGCGTCGCGTAGACGTTGGCGTGGATGGACTGGGCGCCGGCCATGCCTGCGCCGGACTCAGTGATGGTCTGCATCATCATCGTTGCCTCCGAGATTCCCAGGCCGGAGCCACCCAGCGATTCTGGCAGGGCAATACCAAGCCAGCCATCTTTATGGTGCAATCAGATGTGTGCCAGGAGCCAAAAACCAGGACTTTTAACCCCCGCCACCACTATCTCAGAGGCCTCATCGTACTGCCGTAACCAGCAATCAAGGCGTTAATTCACCACCTTCTTAATACGTCATTTTGCCGCAAACAGATCACTAGTATGAGGTCTTCATCAGTATCAAATTCTTCGCAGAAGAAGGCGAAGGATAGGGGGTTTATCAACTCCTACATCTTCTTTTGCAGTCAAACAGTAACAACAACGATAGCTACCATAACAACAATCCTAGGCACTCCTTTCAACAACAAAGAAGGCGATAGTATTCAAGACAACGCAGAGATCCCCAACGCTAGAGAGGATGCAGGGATGCCCCCGCCGCCGCCATATCAACGCCACGCCCCCCGCACTTCATCAACAGCAAGGGTTACTTAGTCCCACGAGGCCCTGCAGCTGTTCCTCATCCTAACCCAGGAACAGGTCAACGAGGGGAACTTACCCAATAATCGAAGCCCATACATCAACCACGCAATAGGTAACATCCTACCGCAGATGCAAGCAGAGTTCCCAGAGCCACCGGGATACACCCAGAAGACCCTCGTCAACAAGTTCAAGTCCTTATCGTATAAGTAGCACAAGGTCAAGAGCCTCCTCCGCTCAGGCGTCAAGTACGACAACAAGTCTAGTATAATATATACATCAGAAGATTGCTAGCAGGACTTCATCGCCAAGAACCCTTACCTACAGGCCATCAGAAAGAAGGGCTTCCCATTCATCAACAAGTGCAGAGTCTTATAGCCTAACCAGGTGTCAACAGGCCAGTTTATCATCAAGGCAAGCAGTACCAACACCATCAAGATTACCTCTAACGACAAGGATAAGGCAGAAGAGGTTAAAGTAGCCCTCAGCAAGCCCTCTCAACACCAGAAGAGGAAGCAGTCAAACTTTAATAACCCTGGAGATAATCCTATAGCAAATGCCGCCACACCCACCATAGCCTCATCAGCAGAGCCAGTTCAACACCGCTTAACGAGGCAGGGTGAGGAGAGAAGTCATCAGTTTAACAAATTCAGCAAGCATATTAAGAGGGGGATTAATCAACTTAGAGAGGCGATCTCTACCCCTCACAAGGTAGGGTCAGGCAACATCAACGCAGCAAGCCGTGATTTTCAGGCGTTATTTAGGCATCACGTCAGGGCTAGCGCAGCGTCTCATCTTACTCAATACTTTAGAGCCCATACGTTAGAAGCAGTCGCTTAGTTAAGTATTAAGTCGATTAACAAGAAAGAGGCTTTTTTAGCTAAACTGCAGTTAAACAGGCTTAACATTATACTTAACAACTAACTATTAATTTATTTACTAGCGTTTACTAGTTATTAAATAATACACAATTTTTTTCTGCAATTATCAGCCTTTTTTACTAAGTTAACCACATCAAAAAAAGAGCTCTTTTTCTCTCTACCTCCAGCATCAACTCCAACATCAAAGTTAACATCAACATCAACAACCCACCTCACCAGCCAACCTCACACTATACAACCACTTCAATCGCATCATCATCATCACTACACCTATCATTATTATTATCCCTCCTTCAAGCCCACCTCGCCTCAAGAGCTTCCCACGCCCAGATCGCTACATCATACCGCACTGCCTTACCAGCCCTCATACCAACCACCTCATTCGCCTACCTTCTTACCATCTCCAACGCCCAATCCTACGTAAGGTTAAGAGGTACGTCATCCTGCCGTTTAAGAGCAACAAAGTTATGAACCACAGTTACCACATACACCATTCTAACTTAATCTTTATAGGAGTACTCTGCCAGGCAGTTCTCAAGCAGAAGCCACCACTTTTTTATATCGCCAAAGAGGTTCTCAATCCTCACCCTTCTACCAGCATAGAGTATATTATACGCCTCTTTTGCCGACGCCACATCAATATAAGCCCTCATTTCAGCCTAGTGATACCTCTCGCCGAGGAAGGGCGTCAAGATGCCCCTCTCACAGGCAAATCCAGCATCTCCAAGGTAGTACCAACCTACCAGCAGGTTAAACGATCAACTACACACCTACCACATCAACGCTGCGTCATTCATAGATCCTTCTACGCCTACCAGTACATATATGAATATTCCGTTAAATCGGATCGCATAAAGTACGTTTTGCTACAGCTAGCCCTTACAACTAATAAACCTCTTTTTCATCCACGCGGGCACGTAGGCAGGCAAGAGAGTCCCATCTATCGCTCCAATACAGCCTGTGAAGCAGCCATACTTATCCTTCAGCTCAATCTAAGGTGATACGTATAAGGCGTCTAGCTACTTAACAACCTCATCGTAGAGGGCAACAAAGCCAGTAAGTACTTACTGATATATCTCTAAGACAGTACTCTACGCTACCTGAAATTTATTCAAAGTTATACGCTAACGCACCCCTTAGCCCAATATATACAAGCCAATCATCAGCTTATACTCAAAGCTCTAATACTAAGTATCCTTAACGAAGTTATAGTGTTATAGCCAAGCCACGATATTCATAAAGTTCCTCTTCAAGACGCAGAACATCTAGTAGAAGTTATCGCAGTCACCACACAGCAGTGAGGCAGCATACTCCGACGCCCACTCCATGCCACCAGGGTATCGAATTACCCAGGGGCCGGGCTCGTTAATAATATCGTCAATCAGAGCCACAACAGCCACAGCTACAGCTACAGCAGTAGTACCAGCAATAACAGCAAGTTATTAAGAGGTGTTCATTTTAATACTTAGAATATAACTAACATAGAACAGGGATATACGAAGTCCACCCTAGCACTCGAATCCTGGTACTAGCCCTGCTTTTTAACATGCCAGGCCAGACAGCAGAATCCCTCGAGAGTGCGCCAGCCATTCCTGAAGCATACTATCTCATCTAGGGTCTCACAGAGTGACTTTTCATAAAGCCAGGCTAGTGCCAGCGTGAGGGGGGCATCATCGGATTCAGCAAAGTGCCCCGAAAAGCCGATAATTAGGGAAATTATACATGCTTACATCATCGACAAACCCTGGTTTTTGGCTCCTGGCACACATCCGATTGCACCATTAGCGAGGGCAGCGTGAAACTCTTTGGGATCCTTCTCTGTCTGGTCGCGTTCTTGCCAGTATGTGTTGGGAAACTCAGAGCAGATTTGACTGACGGCTTCACGAACTGTCAGTTAGTTTTCTGTGAAGCCCGTTGTCTCCATTATCCTCCGGCGAGCTGACGTTGAGAAGGCCGCTGGACGCAGGCATCCCGCCGTCCTGACCGCCGGTCGGGCAACGCGCCAAAGACTCCGAGCGAGAGATTGTGACATGATGAATAATACAGGAAATGATGGACCTGAAGAAGTTGATTCGCTGGATTGAGAGCAGGACGAATCCTCTGGCTCTAAATAACAACATCCATCGACTCCAAAGGCCGACTCACTTCTCTGAAAGGCATTTCAGGGCGACTTCAGACTCGGCAAATGGCCCCGACAGCATGCATTATTCCCGGGCATTTAGCGACCGGAGTGACGCCACTGAGTGGGTGATCAGCGGCCGGTGATTACGCTGTTCTGCATAAAGCCGAATGGACAAAGAAGTAGCCGATTCGATGTGCATGCACTGACGCCGTCACTTGTTCCTGTTGGTGACCTCGGCCAGCACAGCAGCTGATGGGATCTGGTCGCTGGAGGCAGCTTCATGATGAGGATGACTTAGAAAAGTCATGCCAACCCCTAATGCACGTATTACTTCGGGATTTAAATTCCCAAGCCAATCAACCCTCACTTAGCACTATCGTCCACCTTCGCTGAAGACCATTTGCTTTTACCATTACCTCTGAACACCCCTGTCTCCAAAACAAGATGCCGTCAGGACGTGCCGCTCTGTCGCTCTTGGCTACCAGGGCATCTCCATGTCCGCCCAGAGGCGCATGGGGTATCAAGCCCGCCATGAGACCAGCGAAAGCTTTCGTACGATCTCCATTCCAGCAAAATATCGCCTTGAGAACCATGGCATCCACAACATCAAAACCTGAGAGAGAGCCACTACCTCTTGAAGGCATCACCGTCGTCAGTCTCGAACATGCAATCGCTGCACCTTTCTGCACTCGTCAGCTCGCTGACATGGGCGCTCGTGTCATCAAGATCGAGCGTCCAGGTGTTGGTGACTTTGCAAGGGCATACGATACCCGAGTTAATGGCATGGCATCACATTTCGTCTGGACCAACCGTTCAAAAGAAAGTCTAGCACTCGATCTCAAAGACCCGAAACACTTTGAGGTCCTCAAGAAGCTTCTTGCCAAGTCGGATGTGTTGGTGCAGAACCTGGCGCCGGGCGCCACGGAGCGACTTGGCTTGGGCTACTCAACACTCAAAGAGTCGCATCCGTCTCTGATTGTTTGTGATATCTCGGGCTATGGGTCTGACGGCCCCTACAGAGACAAGAAGGCGTATGATCTTCTCGTGCAGAGCGAAGCGGGCTTCCTCTCTGTTACTGGCAACGGCCCGGACCCAGCGAAAGCGGGTATCTCCATCGCCGATATCTCGGCCGGCATGTACGCCTATTCCAACATTCTGGCCGCCATTTTGAAGCGCGGCAAAACGGGCAAGGGGTCACGGATAGACATCTCGATGCTTGAGAGCATGGTTGAGTGGATGAACTTTCCACTCTACTACACATATAATGGGGCCCCGGGCCTGTCCCGCTCCGGCGCCTCCCACGCCTCTATATCCATACGGCCCATTTGAGACGGGTGGCGGAGGCTCGGTCATGCTTGGCGTGCAGAACGAGCGAGAGTGGGCTAACCTTTGCCGAGACGTTCTTGGCAATGAGGCTCTTGCCAAGGACCCAAAGTTTGTGAGCAACACCCTCAGAACGCAGAACCGTGATGAGTTGAGAAAGATCATCTGCGACGCTTTCGCCAAATTTTCAGCAGAGGAGGTCTTGCAGAAGCTGGATAAGGCGTCGATAGCCAACGCCAACGTGAACGATATGCAAGGCGTATGGGATCACCCGCAGCTTAAGGCAAGAGGCAGATGGACGGACGTCGAGACAGGTGGTGGAAAGGTTCCTGCTCTGATCCCACCTGGCTTTGGAAACGTTGAAAGCTCGAGAATGGAAAAGGTACCGGAGCTTGGAGAACACAACGAAGCCATCTTCAAAGAATTGGGTATCGAGCAGTAATGCGGTAGATTCAGGTAGCCGTTAAGACATATCGTTCGAGCAAACTCTCACTCGCCATGCCCCTAGTCGTCACCTTGACCTATTAACACTCCAAGCTAGGGCCTTATCGCATCACGATCACTATTTCACGTCATTGATTGGCTTCTCACGCTGACCTACCTGAACCCCGCAGGAAAATTGTCGGCATCTTCGATTCTGAGATGGCTATTTGGAAACATTTGAGCTATCATCCATGCTTTCCCCGCACGATGACCCCGTGGGGTGATGGCGACCCTGGTTCTAGCGGATAAGACGCGCGGGGAATTAATCCCGAAGGATGCTCCAAGGTGGCATTGATGGGTCCGTCTTAGGAAAGGTGACGGGGAAAAGGAGGCTTCAGGGCAAAGTATAAATCCCACGGACCTTGTTCAGTGAACCACGTTCTGTACTTGAAAGTTGCCTGTCGCTCAGGATCACAAAGACAATTTTGTCTCCAGTATAATCACTCCCTAGATCTTCTACTTCGACCAACCACTCGGTGATTATACCTCCATTGCCCAAGAGCCAGTAAGATGGCTGAGAAAACCCATGATGGCGACGGCACATTTGACGTACACGATGACATCGAGAACGGCAAGCCTTCGGACAGCCATGTCGAAAACATCAGGCAATCGCAACCTCACTTCGACATTGACCCTGTCTTGAGCAAGAAGCTTGACCGCAAGTTCGACTATCACATCATTCCCTGGCTTTTTGGTATATGGTGCGATCTCCAATATCATCTTGTCAAGTTCTTACACTGACACCTTTGAGGCTATTTGCCTTCATTGACAGAAGCAACATTGGAAACGCTAAGATCGATGGCCTTACCGAGGACCTCAACATCTCCACTGGAACAAAGTTCAACATAGCGCTCTTGGTATTCTACATCCCCTACATTCTGGTCGACGTACCGAGCAACTGGATTGTCAAAAAGGTCCGGGCGGGTATATATCTTCCGACTTTGATAACGTGCTGGGGCATAGTAAGCACTTTCCTCGGCTTCACTAAGAGCTTCGCCGGATTGGTAGTATGCCGCCTCTTTCTAGGCCTTTTTGAGGGAGGACTCCTGGGAGGCATTGTGGTATATCTCGCTATGTTCTACCGAAGACATCAGATGCTCTACCGCATTGGCTTATTCTACTGCGCGGCTCCTCTGTCAGGGGCCTTCGGGGGGCTTCTTGCGACTGGCTTGGCTACGATTCGTCACGGTGGCTACAACAGATGGCCCTGGATCTTTTTCAGTAAGCGCCCCTAGACTGCTGCAACTTGATGTGCTAATCAGCTGCAGTTGAGGGAATAATTACGACGGTGTTTGGCATAACATGCTTCTTCTTTATGCCGAGCACTCCAGCCGACGCGAGATTCCTCACTCCTGAAGAACGAACACAGGCCATGAAACGTTTGAGAGAAGATTCTCATGGGGCAACAAACGTTGAGGATGTCAACGACGAACACTTTAGTTGGCACTGGGTCAGAATGGCTGTGCTTGCTCCGCAGACCTATTTCTGCGCTTTGGCATGGATCTTTCTCCTTATCCCACTTTACGTATGTCTTCCTCCAACAGCTCGCTCGGCGGACCCTACATCTAACCTCTTTCCCAACAGAGCTTCTCGCTGTTCCTCCCGTCGATTATACAAGGCCTAGGCTATCGCAATACCACCCAAGCGCAACTTCTCACTGTGCCTCCCAACATGGCTGCCTTCTTCGTTGTTCTTTTGACAGCCAGCTTGTCAGACAGGATCAAGGCCCGTGGACCCATCATGGCTGTGGGGACTCTTGTTGCTCTTTGCGGATATATCATGATTTTGGCGTCGAAGTCAAATGGAGTGAGATACGGCGGGACATTCTTCGTTGCAACAGGCGTTTATCCAGGGTCGGCAATGATTATGGTAAGTCTAAAGCCTGTTTATCACCGCTCGGATGAGAGATCTCTAACATGGTTAGGGCTGGCTTTCGAACAATTTGGCGCCTCACTACGTTCGTGCCACTGGTGTAGGACTTCTCATTGGCTTGGCAAATATGGCTGCATTTCCAGCAACGTTCATCTACCTGCAAAAGAATGCGTAAGTTCTCGGAGAGCATGCGAGACTCCATGTGAAGTTGACCATCTGATATCTAGTCCGGATTACATCCTCGGCCATTCTATCTGCATCGGTTCTCTAATTCTATGTTTTGCTACCGTTTGCATTCAGATGTTGTATTGCAGGTGGGAGAACATGAAAAGGGAAAGGGGTGATCGGGATAGCCGGCTGATTGAGGATCGAGTCCATCTTCTCGGCCATCGTCACCCAGCCTATCGCTACACACTTTGATTCAGAAGCCCAAAAGCCTGCATCATGTAGATAATATACCTAAAGCCCTGAACATGGAGCCACGCAGTATGGTGCTTGCCGAGTAAAGCACTGATTGGGAAGCTCACGAACAAATCTAGGACCGTAGGTAACTGAGGGTATTCAATGATGGAACTCAAGAGACGTCCGTTCATTTTCGTGCGGATTTCTGCCGCAAGAATGTTGACAGGCATGGTAATTCAGCTGGACTGAGAAGCGTTAGCTGCATCAGAGATAACAAAACACCAGAGGTTTTATGTATTTCTATCTACTCGTTTCAGGAAACAGGATTGAATTAGATGTCTCTAAATCTTCGAGCAACCCATCGACAACGTGCTTATCCCGCCAGTCAAGGCGCTGTGGTTGGACGTCTAGCTCATAGCTCGTATTTTCCGTCACTGCATCTTCCCAGCATCTCACAACTTCTGGATTGAGTGCAGAACTCCATGTTGTCCGGATATCAATGAAAGCACATGGCTTACTGCAGCAAGGCACATACCCAAAAAAGAATCCGACATAGTTTTCTGCGTCCCATGACCATATGATCATCTTCTCCAATTTAGGCATTCGCATTGCGGCCTTTCCAGCTGCGAGAAGAACGGTGTCCATCATGTCCTCGTCAAATGATGAATTTGACAAATTGCAAGATAAGACAAGTTGATTCAGTTCAGGCCAGGCTTGTCTAAGAGACTCATTGGGTATTCCCAAATCCCCCGTGCAACGGAAAAAGTCGAACGCATCAACTACCCGTGATGTAATCAAGGACTCGAGATGGAGACTCGCGTGGAAACAGGCGAGTGCAAGATCCTCCCTCTTCTCCGTGTACGGATTGTCCTCCTCTAAGAGATATGCGGATTCTCTGACCACCATGCGTTTGACCCAACCCCTGTGTTTTTGGAATAAGGCCAAAAAGGCGTCGTCTCGCAAAGACTGGTCTTCTCCGAGTTGCGAGCAATGTGGGTGATATACCACTCTTGTCAGGTGGTTCATGCTCTTGAGCAGTATGCTCATAGCATTTGCTGAAGCGCTTCGTGTTGATTCAGAATAGAATATCCACACAAGCTCATCCACAATAGGAACTAGCGGCAGCTTTTTCAGTTTGAAATCTAGCAGACTGCCTTGCACCCTTGGGGGCCAGTCTTCAACATCGCCCGCGGACATGACGTTAATACGAAGCGCCAAACCATGGTCATGCTCTGGGCCGGTCCAGTTTGCCAAAACTTTAAAGAGCGAAAACACGGCCATCGTGAAAAGAGCATTGTTCCTCCGAATCTCCTTTTCGGTCTCGACCTGCACGTCGCCTGAAGAGTTTCCCGGAAGCTCGATATTGAGTACAATTTCTTCAACAAAAGTCCTGCGGTCGCCTTTCACCATCTCTCCGAGAGCCTCAATTTCAACTGGAGAATTGGTTAACGTGACATCCAGGCTGTTGAACGTGTACTCCTCGAAGAATCGCTGCCATTCCTTGGACACGCACGCCAAAGTTGACAACTTTTGAGGCTTCGGAACCAGCTCGGGCTCCGCAAGCATGTTGGCTTGCGGGGATTCCAGCTCAACTTCCGGGGCAAGATTGTCGAGCACCGCATTCGTGTTGTTAGCTCGCGCAAACATGTCGTTAGCTCGCGCATACCAGTCGTTGGTTCGCGCAAGCAAGTCATTGTTTAGCGCTATAACGTCGTGCGTCGCACCTACGTTGATGCCCCGCGCAAGCATGCCGTTTAATAGCGCAGACATTTTATGAGTCTGCACAAGCATGTCACTGAGCTTTCCAATGATTTCGACGATCTTCGGCTTTGGAGAAGACTCCTCATCAATATTGGATTCCTCATCAAGGTTGGGTACCTCATCTGCGCCATCGACATCCGGATCCTCGGCGGCGTTGGACTCCTCATCAAGGTCGGACTCCTCATCGAGGTCGGACTCCTCATCGAGGTCGGACTCCTCATCGAGGTCGGACTCTTCATCAATGTCGTCCAGAATATGCTCCAATATCAAACAACGAAGTTCTGTTGGTAAGTCTGTAAACCGAAAGTGAGAATTTGGCTCCGAGCTATTATTAAGGGGGGCCTTTGAGTGCAAAGTTGGATTGCATGGCTCCATGGTGACCAACGGAGCGCTTAGCGATGTATCCAAGAATCAATATCGTGTTGTGCCGCACCAAGTGGTGATTTGGGGGTATCCTCGCCTCGTAGCACTGAGGGTGTAAACAAAGTATGGATTGGTTACAGAAAGTAATAGCTTTCGGGCAGAATTGGTAATTCATGATATGTATTCTCAACTCGGTTTCTCCGAAGTGATCGTGGCTTCCTTACAATATGCGCGTTTGCAGGACGTTTCTCCGAAAGCCAGCGCGCCCCAAACTTGAATTCAAGCCGGAAACAAAAATTCACGTATTGAAGTTAGAGGTCCTTTTTCATTTTCAGCTAATCAGACTCAACTTTGCCAGAAAATCTCAAAACCTTCCTGCCTATGCCACACAGCGGTAGGATGCTGCTGTTGATCGCTCCACTTTCTTAGCAAACCTCATCAATATCAACGCGGCGCCACAGTAGCAAAGACTGTGTTTGCGACCTAGTAGGCGTAGAAGTTCGTGGCCTCCTCCTGCGTAGTTCTTATCTGTCTGTTCATTCGTACCAAGATGAACTTCATCAACCACGCCGTCATTACGACGCCCATCGAAAAGCCAATGCTCGCAATCATTGCCTTCCTAAAAAGCGGGCTGTCGCTGTCGGGCCAGAGATAGGGCGTGTATACGAATGACAGGTTGCCTAGTGTATTGACCATCGCAATCGCAGCCGCCTTCTTCTCGTCCGTTTGGCCAACAGTAGCGGCCGTCCACGCAACGTTAATGTTGTTCACGCCGTACGTGGCGCCAACAAACAGGACCATGGCAAAGTACCGTGCACCAATGTTCATCGTGCTCGTCGCGACGGCAAAGCCGATGCTCGCCACTATCTTGGAAACGGTAATATGCCAAGTTCGCTCGTTGTATCTCCCAGAAGACCAGGACACTAACACAGATGCTGCCCCGGCGATCAGGTAGGGCGGGCATGTGAGTACTAGCGTGATGGTTGTATTGAAGCCGAGAGACTTGACCGCAGTCGGCATGTAATTCTTGAAGCCGTTGGCGGACAGATGGAGATTGCCCATAAGAGCAAAGACCCAAGTGCGATAGTCTGTAGCGGCTTCCCACAGACCGGACCATGTGCTAGTCGCCTGACGCTTTTCTGTGGTGTCTTTGGCGACGCGGTCATGGGCTAGTTGTCGCTGCTCTGGCGTAAGCCATCGGGTCTCGAGGGGAGCGTTAGGAAGTAGGAAGAAAGCGACAGCTGCCACGCCAACTGCCAAAAGTGTTAACAGACTCATACCAACAGGATGGTGGTCATTATGGCGTACCAGTGACAACTCCTTGTATCAAGAACAACCATCTCCAACCAGCGAGGCCGTGTTTACCGTCAAGGCCAGCAAAGACACCAGCCGCGATCAAACCCGAGAATGAGCTTGCAAGGAGATTTCCAGTATAAAACACAGCCAATCGAGTTGCAGTCTCTTTCCTAGTGTAGAAGAGGCTAACCATGTAGCAAGCCCCGGAATAGAAGGGCGCTTCGGTGATCCCCAGAATGAGCCTGGCCGTATATGAAGAGTCAGCTATCACGAATACCGAAAGGGTACTGGACATAGTGGTCTTACCTGCAAGCCAGCATGCCATGGTAGTCTTTGACAATGCATATGAGAGTCGAAACAACGGCCCAGGCCATCATCCACCCCGACATATACCAGGCGGGCTTAACGCGGGTGACGAGCATGTTGGAAGGAATTTGCCCAGTGATATATCTGCATCATCTTGTCAACTCTCGAGCTGTCGTATCCGCTCTTCAATAGCTTACCCCACGAAGAAGATGCTGACGCATGTGTTGTACTGAGAACCGACCATATCGAGATCCTTATCAAGATTGTTAAGCTTTCCGTTGACGATAGCGTTTCGGTCTAGGAAGTTCTACGACGTATTAGAGAATCCAATCCCGAAGATATTTGCCCGATGCTCTCTTACAAGAAAGTACATGACCCATAAGATTGGCTACGAAGAAATAATTAGCGAATTGTCATCAACTTAAACCCATGTCTCCAGGGAAGACGTACCATGAGGTACAAATCGAGCTTCTTCACGAGAGCAATTTCCTTAGGGTCGACCTTGTCGACGGATCCAAACTTGTCGGGTTGCCTTCTCTCATCAACAGGCTTGAGGTCATCTTGATAGTCGACATGATCAACGACGCAAGTTTCTTGGTCCTTGTGCGGATCCACCTGAGGTTGTTGACTGACGGCCATGATGATGAGGGTTTGAGAATTTCGTCGATGCTTACGCGAAAACAACCAGGACAGAATGTTCATAAGGTGATTATCATGTTGGAATACAGAATTGGGAGGACGTTTTAAGTCATTTTGCCCAACGCGCGCGGCGCTGCTACAGACGCTTAAAGATGGACGGAAACGTCTCAGACCAAATTCTTATCCTCAGTCATCAAAAACGAATGTTCGCAATATTGCACCAATCAAGTTCACCTCACCCGATGCTTTCTCCCAGGTGTAGGCAAAATCACTGCCGCAAGTGGGCAAGTCTGGGGTAGGGAGGACTTCTGAATCTGGGGTACATATATGAAATCTTGGCTTCCCCGTGGGGTAGATTGGACCCATCGAAGGATGCTTGCTAGCGAAGGCATGATGGCGGGCCAAAGT